TTCTTCTCCTTCTCTCTCTCTCCCCTGTATCTATCCTCCTTCTCCTTCTCCTCCTCCCATTCCTTCTTCCTCATTCTTTTCCTTTCCTTCTCCTCTCCCTCTTAGAGAAGCAAGAGAGGGGATGCGAGGAAAAAGTACAGAATACATAGATTTCAAATGAAGAAAATATAGTATATTGTAATACAGTTGTAACGTCGGACCAATAGACTTTCCAGCAATACGGTCAAACATTTCACAACACGTTTATACATAAATCTTTACTCGAAAACAAAAGCAAAAACAAAAACAACAATAAGAAAATGAGGACGTTTTTTCCGATAAGTTACGAGCCGGGAAAATAGGCTCTTTTGTGATGGTATACCACTTTAAGGAGACGCTTGTCCCACTGCGTGTGTTAGCGAGCCTTACTGTGCAACGTAATTGCAACTTCTGAATTCGATTTTGCAGGATATTTTGCGCCCTGCAGTTAGAGGAATGTTCAGGCCATGCGAAAGTTATAGGTTTCTGATTATGAAAAGAAAAGTTACATGATATTCCAATTATGATTAGTTTTATAATCTCGTTTAACCCATTCGCGCCGGGCGTCACGTATAGGTGACGGGCCCAATTTGAGTTTACTTGTTTGATTGTTTACAAACATAGATGGCTCCACTTGCACTTGTACTGCCTGTCTCGTCTGTTTACCCTTTTCTTTAATTTACGAAATTATTTTGCGTTATCTTATTTTCCTGTTACTAATGTTTATAACATTAGAGTAATTATAATGTTTATAATAAAAATAACCATCGATATTCATAGCACTAGTGAAAATACATTTTCCCGCCAAATGAAATCCGGTAAAGCAGAGCCATCTAGTGTAGAGAAATTTCATTAAAAAATATAAAAAATGAACACAGCATTTCCCCCATTTTTTGTTCATTTTTACCCGGCGCGAATGGGTTAAACTCGTTTCAACATGCACAGGGGTATCCAGGAGAGATTTATATATATATATATATATATATATATATATATATATATATATACATATATACATATATACTGTAAATATATATATATCTGCACACACATATTTATATATATATATATATATATATATATATATATATATATATATATATATATATATATATATGTATATATATACAAACTCATCCATAAAACATGCATAGGGATATGCAGGAAAGATTCTTATATATATGTATGTATATAAATATAAATATGTATATATATATATATATATATATATATATATATATATATATATATACATATATATATACATACATATACATACACACACACACACACA